GTCAACTGAATTGTAAACCGAGCAAAAATATTTCAGCTTTCAATTAGCGTCAGCAGCTCAAAAAATAAAAGTTGACTGACTATTTAACTTGCACCATTCATTCTGGCTTGCTAGCTCACCCTTTCTAATTAGCCTTATCCCAGCTTTGCCACCTGCATATTTTAATGATGTGATAGGTGCCAAAGTATAGATGAAGATATCTGAAGTGAATGGGAGTGAAGCTGAGTTCTTGTATGTTTGGCATGATACACTTCCTAACTCATCAGTGCTTATCTTTCTTAGTTAAAAGCTTCAGATATAAACAGAAAGCATCAATTAGCTACCTTACACCACGTTTAAAGTTTGACTTAAAGTCTCAAAAATAAGTAGTTAGATTTTTCATAATTCATGACTAGGTGCTCAAGGATCTGAGTTTTTCTACTGTGGTCCTCCTGGAAAATATGCTGTTCCCTATTCTGCGGGGACATCAGTTTGAAAGTTGTGGGGGTGGTGGTACTACACAAGGCCAAACTAGTTGTTATTCACACACAACAACTACAGTTTCATACAGCTTTAAAACAAAATCAAATATTGGTTTCCACTCTAGAGTTGTGCAGTTTCATAAACTGATTCAATACGAATGATAAAATCTTGTATGTTTTTACCTAAGAATAAGTTGTTTTGATCTCAGTGAGGCATAGTTCTGAATAGACATATTGCACAGCAAATAAACAAAAATTGACCATTAATCTGGCACTGGTTTCATCAATAAAGGTCTACTTTTTTGTAAACTAGCCTAAAATTCCGATATGTAACAGCAGCCGTTCTGTTCGTTTTAAAACTAATCACCCTGTCTTGAGGGAGAAAAGTGGGATAGAAATAAAATAAAATAAAAATAAAATAAAGTAAAATCACAAATGGGTTTTTGTTTCCAGCCATAAATCAGAAGTGATGTTAATAACAACAAATATCCATTTAAGTGGCATGTTACAATTGTGGTTTATTTCTTACTGTGCTTAAAATATAGACATTGCAATACACATTAAACAATCTGGAAAGAGAACATAAACATTCCTGATCCATAGACTACTTAGTCCCATTGAAATCTGCTTAAATCCAAGTGCTCTGATTTTTGTATCACAGCCATGGGAAGACTAGAATGGGTAATTAGACAAACAAGGCTTAAGAAGCTACATAAATCCTTGGCTGCATTCCTAAAGGTTGAATTGTGAAAGAGAGGCAGTTCAAACAGTAGTTTTTGGATATGTCTTGGTTATACAATTCTATTCGTCACATTCCCATGGTAGACAAAGCTTGGCATGTAAAATGGTAGAAATGAGCTACCAAAAAATGAAGCAAAGAGGACTGCCCTGGTCTGCTTTCTCCCTTCCCCTTCTGTCATAGGACAGAAGGTCAGATTAGGTTGGGAGAAGGGTATGGCTCTGAAGGGTCTGTAACCTTTCAAACAGCACAAGGATTTTTCATCTCTCTGTTCTTCCTTGTTCATTCTGCAGCCAGAATGCTTGGATTTAACTGTGGAATCTAGCAAATGCATATAAAACTGCTGTCCACATTGGTTTGCCAGACACTGCTTAATAAGCCTGGTTGTTTTCATATTTTTTAATGCTGTGTTACATGTTTGTGTACCTTTTATTTCTATGACTTATTTCGTGCATATTCATTATCCAGTGACTTGCGCAATCAAATAGCTCACATATGTGAAATGGTTGTCACAGATCACTCCATGAAACAGAACTTTCATATCATTAGACGTCAACTCAAGTGTAATGCTTCACAGAAGAGTCAGTTCACTTAAGAAGCTCCGTGTTATTTGAGGGTTCAGTGGTACGTGTGTGTGTGTATGTGAATTAGCCCTAACTTGCTGTTTAAATAAAGTGATAGATGCACACGAACCTTAAAATAAGGTCTGTATTCATTAAAAAAGAAATAAATGAGTGCAGAAGAATTATCTCACTGTTGGGAAGCAACCAAGAAATGTTTTTGAACCACATCTATTATCCATTTTAATCGTTTTGGATTCTTTTCAACTATAGACTGGTTCACTTGCAACATCTTCTGCCAGGAAAGTGGGAAGTATTCCAAAGAAATGTTCACTTAATAACACTGAACTGTGTGTCCCAGATGGAGGCCTGTTTCCCTTAGATCTCAATTACAGTCTGCTCCTGCTTTGCTACAGACCAACAGTGAGCAGTTGAAAAGTTGCTGTGCTGTAAATTCCTCAAGTATTTCTATTCTGCAACTTCTCTTTCCTTTCTTCTTGAAGTACTTCCAGAATTAATCAGCAAAATCATTCAAATTATTGTGGCTGCTTTATGAATTTATTTTCTTTCTGTGTTTATATTCCACCATTCAAATAATTGTTGTCTTTCAAAGTGGCTTGCATCATCAACTATAATCAACATAATCACCTGCCACAAGACTTACAGTGTAAAAATTTAAGAGGAGACATACCAGCAGCGTTTGGTGGGAAGAAGGGAGAGGGCGGACATGTTCTTCAGTGCCAGCATCAAGTGGCAAGCTCTAAGTGGGCATTCCTATCCAATTCAGCTAAAACTGACTTTCTTTGGTGGTGATTTTTCTTGGGCAGCAGTTGATGAGTCTTGTTAAATGGGTTATTGAATGTTGCCAGACTGCTGTTTTCCTTCTGTTGTCCCAGAGCCACAGTCAGTTGGTTCCCATTAATATGATATTACTCACTGAAAACAGAAGGTTCACCTTCTCAATACCCCAAGGTTGCCTGGGCACACAGAGGTCATAGTGTGCTTCACTTCTGTTCCCCAATGCTTCTCCTCTAAAATATGGACCATTTGGTTAAATTTGTTGAATAGCATAATAGTGAAAAAGGAAAAAAATATCAACCAGTGGTTCAAACTAAGTTTTCGTATGACTGAATGACTTGGGAGGACGGGGACTTAATGAGTGGTTGTGCTGCTTAATACAATTTATTCGAGAATAAAATTTATTCTATTTATGCCACACGAATTAGTATGGAGTAAACACTTGTAATAATTTTATATCGTTTTCCATTCTAATGTTGTTTTTGAAGATCATGCTTAGTTTGCATAAAAGATCTACACCCAGTTCTTAAATATTGTGGCCCTCTGCTATGAAGAAAAATTCCCATTGGTGTTCCTATGATAAGTGTAATGTCAGAATCAATCCTAAATTCACCATATATACATATGGTGTACATTATGAAGGATATACAAATACAAGAATAGGTGATACCTGTTCTTGCATTTGTATTTTATTTTGAATTGACCACATGAGACCCCTTTATTTCAATTATAAACTAGGGAGGGATAGTGTTCATATATCCTGATGTTCTTTTAACATATCTTTTTATCAAGAGGTCTTATAAAATGAAAATTCTGTTGAGCAGTCTCATCATTAACTCATGGTGTTAGTTATCCCCTGAACATTATTTAAGATGGGTGCTTTGTGCACCTGACAACGTCATACAAAGCTGTCAGTGTGGCACCACAGCTGCTGTGTGGTCCTTCTCCCCATCCCGCAGGCCAGCTGGGCCACTTACTGTATTTTTTGCACCATAAGACTCACTTTTTTCCCACAAAACAGGGGTGTGGAAAGTCTGTGCGTCTTATGGAGCTAAGAAAACAGATTATATTTTCCTGTTTTCTTCTCCTAAAAAATTGGTGCGTCTTATGGAAAGGTGCGTCTTATGGAGCGAAAAATACGGTACTCAGCTGCTGTGTGGTCCTTCTCCCCATCCCACAGGCCAGCTGGGCCACTTGTCATTGTGCGTCAGTGGGGTCCTTCTGCTCCAGTGGTGCACCAGCCTGGTAGGAGCTTGGGCTGCCTGTCCTGTTTCCTCATCAGCTGCACAGGGAGAAAAGCTGCTGTGTGGTCCTTCTCCCCATCCCACACGAAAAATACGGTACTTGTCATTGTGCGTCAGTGGGGTCCTTCTGCTCCAGTGGTGCACCAGCCTGGTAGGAGCTTGGGCTGCCTGTCCTGCTTCCTCATCAGCTGCACAGGGAGAATCCCTGTCCTGCCTCCTTGATGGAGTGGTTGGGTGCTGGAAGAGGCAGGACAGGCAGCCCAAGCTCCTGCCTGGACTGGCAGAAGGAACTTTGTGACGCATGACATCAGGTTAAGTGGTCCAGCCAATCTGGGGTGAGGTGGGGAGAAAGTGTGCAGCAACTGTTGCACAAAGCACCTATCTCTAAACATTATCCTGTAAGGATGAGAGTTGAACAGGAGCAGTGCTTGATATATCTGGTATTCTATGAACAGGATGGGATGGGGAGTTAGGTTAGACAAGCTTTTGGCTATATTCCCAGTACTTTTAAGGTATTTGGCAGTTTTGATCAACAATTAATTCTAAACGGTATTAAAATGAATTTAGTATATATACTAAGATCTTTTAACTGAATAGCTGAAATTAAGAAACATAAAGTTGTGTTATGCAAGGCTGATCATGTCATCAAGTGCAATTGTTTTCTGAGAGTTGAATGTTTCCCATCCCTCTCCCCAAAGTTCATAGGCTCTCTTGGAATCATTTTCATGCTGGGGAAGCTGTTGGGGGCCACAAGATGACAGGGGAGGAAGTGTTTAATTTCCAAATAATTGATGCTGCTGGTAAAATCATCCCAGCAGAAATTAAAGACTTCCCCCTGTCTTGTAGCCCCAGCTGCTTACCTGAGATGAATGGGATCCCAAAGGAGCTTCAGAACCTTGCGGGGGGGGGGGATGGAAAATATTAGTTCCTTAAACATGGCTTTGGTTGGTGACATCATCGGCTTTATGTGGCGTATATTTACTGGACTTCAGCCAGTGAATTTATCTGAAACAGATAAACATCTTGTTGAAGGTCAGTACCGAAAATGTTTTATTTTGGTTCCAATTTATTTAAAGATGCTTTTACAATGCATCCTACTATGGAATTAGAAAGCAATTGCCATATAAATTTTCTGATTCACACCTTTTTAGTTCTCTGTTAATATTAATAGTCTTTAATTTTTTAAAAATTATTTTAGGAGGGGAATCCCTTTGATGCTGCTGCAGGATACCGTAATCTTACATATGAAGAGGTATTACAAGAGTTAGTGAAACACAAAGAACAACTTAAGAAGAAAGATACTCATATTCGTGAACTTGAGGACTATATTGACAATCTTCTTGTACGTGTAATGGAAGAAACTCCCAGTATTCTCAGAGTGCCATATGAACCTTCTCGACGAGCTGGCAAATTTGCAAAAAGCTAAACTAAAGCCAACACTCCATGGCATTTCTTTAATTGGGTGGACTGCGTATGTTTTGATATTTTGATTTCTATTATCCACCCATTTCATTCTAAATTCTGCCCCAAATGTCTACTAATATTGCCAGAAATGGCAATCTCTACATGAGATGTACATCATTTTATAAATGTAAAATGTAAATTCCATTTGCTATACAACACTCCTTTTACGCTAGACAATTACTGCAGCTGTGTTTTGTTTTTAACTATTATATCTAATGTGTACACTATACAGTTATGACCCTGTACCCTTACTTGAGTATTTATTTTGCACTTCAATCAATCTCTTTGATGTTACAGCATGCTGTCAAAGTGGATGCGCACAAGCAGGATGTGTTTTGCAGCTCTAAATGTGAAGAAAAAATGTGATTATGTACGATTTCATTGTTTGCATTTTATAACTAGGAATCATCAATGGATAACTTAATGAAGAAGTATGTAATGTTTTTGATAATGATGTTAACAGTATTGGTTTTGGAGTAATAGATTGTTGAAACAGTTACCTTTGTGCTCTTCAACAAATCTGAGTTTTTGGCCAAGTTTTTAACATCTTCATGGAGCTGGGTATATGAGACAGCATAAGACCTGCTTAAGCATAGAAGTATTAAGTAGGTGAATCAGAAGAAGGTGATTAATTAATTAATACCTCATTTGTTTAAATACTACATTAGGGAGATAAAGAGAGAGTAGCATAATATTGTAAAGAATTAGCATGTCGGCATATGCATATTTCATTGGCTTTTGCCAAATTTGATTCAGGAAATGGTGATTGTTTCTTAAAATAGGTGGGAGCATTGTTTTCACCCCCTAAATATTTCCATGTGAAATATCACATTTTATCTAAGAGTGGCAGATATATTTGATTAAGCATGACTTATGTGTCATCTGTGTATAACATTATGTGTCTGTTTAAAGTTGCAAAATACCATGGAAAACACTATCATGAAGGAAAACATTGTTTACTATACTAGTGACTCTTATATAAAACTACAAGGAGGATTGCTGCTGCAAAATGCAAAATGGGTTTAGACATAAGATAGACAGGATGCTCTGAATAGGGCTGTTTCTTTTCAGTTTATTATATATTTTTTGCTTTATAATGTGAAACACAGGCGTATTTTCAGACATTAGACAGGAGAATTATTCTGAGGAGGAGAAACTACTCTTTAGAATTATGAAGAATGTTAATTCACTTTTTTTTAAAAAATCATTAACATAAGAATTTCTCTCCATTAATCAGAACACTGTTGTGACTAAAATAGAATAGGATAGAACTGTTTTCAAAAGATGGTGGAGATGGATGTTCTTAAACATCCTCAACAATATTAAGAAAAACAATTTGCCATGGAAATTGCTTCTAGTGGTTTGGTGAATCCATATGCCAGAATCCTGTTGTAAGTTTATGTTTATGTAAGGGAGATTACTTGAAGTTTTGTGACAAATTGTTGCTCATTGATGAGGTAATGGTTGCATAGCTGGCTGTACATCAAGTTGTGCAGTTGAACGCACAGCAAAATGCAACTAGCACTTGGTTAATGAATGCCAGTTTGCCACTAAGAATTACGCAGTTTCTCTTGCACAAGTTTAAATTAGTAGAATGATTCTGGCTAATCTATGAATATATGTGAGTAGGCAAGTCCTGGAATTATGTCTCAGAAGAACATAAAGGGTACCCCCCCATATTTCATGTCTATATGCTGTCTTTTTATTCTGTTATGTTTGAGTACAGAGAATATATTCTAAGGTATACTCAATGTCTTAAGGTTAATTTTGCATTTAAAGATGTTTACCTTTAATATTTATGCCACAATGTGTTTTTAAAATTCACTGTTTGTTTCATAGTTTGCAGATGTTTCACAATACCATAGTTAATGGCTTCCACACACAATACTGGAAACTGTTGGAATTTCTATTATATACAAATACATCCTGCATCTTCAATGAGTTTTCTGCAAGTAGAAGAGCATAAACCACAGAATTCTAAGTTCATTTTGTTATGAACTTTTAATTCCTACCACCTTTCAAATTACTTCTATTAGAATCTCAATGTGAAAGTTCAAAATGCTTGACTGTAAAGCTTCTGACATAAGTAGCAGAGTTAATAAGAACTTTAGAGTTATATTTTATTGTGCATTTTCATATGTTGTCTAGTCCTGTTTTTCCATCTGATCTTAAGTGGATTCAAGCACTTTTTGCAGTCAGTGTTTAACTGCAAGAAAACAAAACAAAACAAAAATCAGAAAACGGTATTACATCAGGGAAGGTGCCATCATAAGTAAATAGACAGTGCATTGTTTACAAGCAACAAAAAGGTTTCTTAATTTGTGTGACTGTTCAAAGTGTATTGACTCAGTGTAATTGTAAATGCTGATCTGTATTCATTGAGCAACTTTATAAAATGCTAGTTGACTTGGTCTTGGGTACATAATTGTTAAGACTACGGAATAGTCAAAAAACCTGCTTGTGCAAATTTATACTTAACAAGAAAAATCAAATACCAGCTGTAGTAATGAGGAAACTCTGGCCATAGCAGCAAAATTGTTGTGCCTATATACTCTCTTTTTCAGTATGCAATGCATTTTGTCCTGAGTACATTTTGAGATCATACTCCAGTATTAGTATGTTTTCAGAGCCAGCAATTCTTTTAAAATTTTATAGTCTTGATTGTAGAATACAATACTACTCTACTGGCAGGATAAAATAGTTTCTGCCACATTGTTCTAGGTTCTAAAATTAAGGAGCTTCAAAATACATCCTCCCATATCCTATATGAGGAATGAATGTATTTCACACATACCTTTATATATTTCTCGTGAATAGTTAGCACAAAGGACCTATTGAAAATCATACTTAAATTTACTTGTTTTGAAATAGCACTCCCTAACTGCTGAACATATAAAATATATGAAGGTCATTTCTAGTGAAAAGTTACTGCCATCAGAAAGAATGCTTGATAGTATGGTACTTTCTCCTGCTTCATTTTACATTCTTGTATTGAGCATGATTGCCTCCTACCAATAAATGTAGAATTATCCACAGATTATACTTAGCTGTGTATATTGTGGTTGGCTGTAAACCAAAACTAGTTGTAACATTTCAGCTTTGAAAATCATGCCTTGTATTTGAAGGCATTATAAATTGGGCCATATTCTCAATTAAGAATTTTAATGACAAGTTGTTCCCCTTTCCAGTTCTTTTCTTAGTTTTTTAAGAAGAAAATAAGCATATGGCTTTAAATACATTTTATTGCTGCACTGGACTGTTATTTTCAACTGTATCTTTTAAAATTGGAATGTAAACTAATGGTCTCCCCACAAGCTAAGTTCCATGTATCTCAATCAGTTGTAGAAGTGCTGTAAATGAAAATGTATGTATTTCAGAATGTATATATGTATGCCATAGTCCTTGCGGTCAAAGCAACTAAAGACGGTTCATAGCACATGAAAATGTCTGTTGTAGTCTCTGCTAAAATATTTTTTCCTGGATATTCCAAGGGCTAGGCATAAGTGAGATGTGCATTACTATGAGTTGTTTTCCTGAATTCCCATACATATATCCCCAATTCAGCTCTAAATTAAAGTATGGTTAAATATTTAGTATGCAACAACTATAGCACTTTAGTTGACTGACGTTTCTGGAATGTTTTCAGATTGACATCTATTGTGAGTGAGATACTGATGTTTGAAAATGTCTACTTGAGCATTCTTGGCCCATATTTGATCCTTCAGATTCTGTGTTCAGGGAATGTGTCGTATATAAAATTCAGTGTGTGCAAAATGGTGCATCCACTTAATTAAACATAGAAGGTTCCAGATTTTATTTAATATGATAAAAATGCTATACATTATGGCATCAGATAGCAAGTCTATGAAAGATATGAGATGTGAAAAAGGATTTTCATTTGTTTTGTGCAATGATGAACAATTTGTATATATCCCCCCCCCCTCAATGGAAGGTCACAATTTATGTGGCACATGTATTTGTAAAATGATGAAATGCATGAACTAACATTTTTGTTGCATTTTTAGGCCTGCACACTTTCTATTTGATCAAAATTGTAATCTTAATTTATCTTCTTCCCAACAATTATTGCATATAAAAACCCAATAAAATACTACTGTGCACTCCAGACATTTGTCTTGTAATTCCAGTATAATCAATGCAGCAAAGTTTTAAAATACAAATCAAGGTTTACCAGGTATGATGGCTGTGCTTTGAAAAACTATTTATTTTATTTATTTATTTAACTTACATGCCTACCCACACTACCCTCTGGGCAGCTTACAATTAAATTTATGTAAGAAAAATTAATGTAAGATCATTTGAGATAGCTGTGATGTTATGATTGTAACTTCTCCGGCATCTGTAGAAGTAACCTATATCCCTCTCAACTGTAAGTTGTAAGGCTGTGAAAATGGGCATAGGCAGTGCTCTTGCAAGAGAAGAAAGATAAGAGTTATGTAGTATGCAAGTTCTTTACAACAGTGGTCCCCAACCTTTTTGGGACCGTGGACTGGCTGAGCTTCTTAGGAAGGCGGGGCACCCCCTATGCTCATGCGCATGTGTGTGTTCTCAGGTGCATATGTGAAGCGCTCCCCCACTCCTTCATGCAGGCACAGGAGCTCCCCCACGTGCGCCTGCCCACCCTTTCGTGTAGGCGATTGGGCACATGTGTGAAGGGGTGGGGGAGCACTCACGCTGGCGCTGGCATATGTGTGTGTGCACAAAGCAGCTGTGGGGAGGGGAGTGCATGCAGGGGGGTGGGAGGCCTGTCTTCGCAGCTGGGTCTGGCTGAGGCCACAGACCAGCACTCTCTTTTGTAACTCATTTTGTGCCCATCTCATTGCGAATGTACAGATGCTGTAAGCAGTATTAAGGTAGCATATGTAAAATATTACTGCCATTTTCATCATGTAAATATAAAAGGGTGGTTGCTGTTTTACAGATCTTGCCTACAATAATTTGGGTGTGTGTGTCTTTTTTTGTGTAAGGTCTGGACTCCCAATTTTGGAAAGGTCTGGAGGCCATATTCTAGCAATGGATATAGCCACAGGCCAAATGTGTAACAAGAATCAGACATTTTCTATCCAAGCACACAAAGCACAGCTCTAGATCTATGTGTCCATATATGTGTCAGTGCAACACCTTTCAGATAGTGAAAGCTCATGACTGCAGCCAGAAAATTTTGTAGTAAGGTGTCCAATCCAATTCCACTCCATAAGCTACCTACCATTTCAGGCATACAAAGCACAGCCTAGTTCTACTCATATCTGGGAGAAATCCCCAATATAGTAGTTTCCTGGGCTGTGGAGCATAGATATAGAGTAGAAGTAATAAGAGAAACTAGTTGGATGGATGGGTTGTGGTTCTGCACCTTAATATATAGCCAGGATATCCAAAATGCATAAGCATAACATGCCAACATTTTTGTAAAGCTGAGCTGAGGTGTTGCTGATGCTCTCTTATTTAGATTCCTTCTCTCACACTAAATTCTTTCCTCCTTTTGCTCTATTTAATTTAATCTATGTGGTTTCCTTTTTTCTTTATCTTTGTCCTATAACATTTGGAACATAATCATGGTCACTGTTATGTGCCTGAAGGAACAGGAGGAGCAAACTCTGCAAAAAATACAGAGTCTTCAACTCTGAAACCGCTTAGCAGGCACGAGAGATTTATGAGCTGTACTTGGATAGTTTTAGTAATATTATTTGAGAAGAGGCTATGTTATATTTAGCGCCATTTCATCTGTAGCAATGAATGGCAGGAATTGCTTTGTGCCATAGAAGATAGTTTTCAAACACTTTCCATAGCACATTTGCTCACCTGTATGTGCTTAAATATACTTTTGCTAAATAAAGAGAGGAGGAACCTGTATTGACCTCTGATTTCTACTGCAAGACAGTAACACATGGCAGGAACTTCAGCAGATGGGTTCATAACAAAGGGGCTGCTTGTAAGATAAGTGCCAGGTGCAAACGTATTGCCTTAGCCTGCTGCTACCTCTTATTTTCTGGGTCTCCAGGACACTTTTCTAAATCTTTAGGGATTAAACTAGCCAATATCAGCAGGGAATATCTTAAGAAATCTGGTGTCACAGGCTGACTGTGCCAGACCAGATTGCTTCTATTGTTGCCCGACGTAGGTGCCTGTCGCATGGTGCCAATAGCTTTAACAAGGAAAAACACTGCAATGTGTCATGTCACCTCCTCCTCTAAATGATTCATGCAGGCCTTGTTAAGGTGATGTGAGCCTCATTCTCAGATATCTGTGGTTTCCATTAGGAATTCCTTGAAAATTGACTCCCCAGGACACCTTTAGAGGTAACTTCAAAGGGTTTCATTAATGAATATCTCCTCATTTATACAAGACCTTCTAACAATAGCATTAGAAAAACCTGTGTTCTCATTTCTCAGTGGTGAAGTCAAGGTATTAGCTCTCTAGCAAGGTAGGAAATACATGACAGAACTCTGCTTTATCCTGATGTGGATTTGATGGATTGTCACCAGTTTGGCCATCCTGTCATTGTAAGCCTTTGCCATTAGAACAGCATAGTAGAACAACAAACATAATTTATAAGATGTACCTAGAGAACATACTGTGAGGGTGAGGTGAGGAAGTGAAGTAGGTGGGGCGAAAGCTGAATGCCAAACTCTTAAGAGTATAGCCACTAAAATCCCCTGCCTGCTACTTTTGCTTTCCATATACATATATATAGTGAAAATTTCATCCAGTTAATTTTCTAAATAAGATTTCTTATTTAGAAAATGAACTGGATGAAATTTTCACTCATCCCTGATCGTATGATCCCAGTGTCACACCCTATTTGATGTTTGGCAGTTTAAGGGAAATAGCAGTGGGACTTTAAATGCACATGGGGAATGACTGCCCCAAAGTCAAAAAACAAGACACTGGGAATGTAGTTACGTATCTCCCATGTCACATGTAGCTTGACCTATGGCTTATTATTTCAACAAAATATTCCACTGGATTGTGAATACAGTATAATGCTTTCACAATATTAAAATCGTCTTTACTTTTGATACTTTAAAAGTTTGTAGTTCTCACGTGTCAAATTCTCATGTGTGCCAAAGCAGCATGACTGGAATGTACAACCCCCTCCTCACATTGTGTTCAACAGGTCAAGAGGGGCTGTGACTTTGGTCAGGCCAGTGTGGCAAGAATTATTACAGAATTCTCTATTTTGACAGTAGCTTGTAATATTTCTGAGCTTCTATTTCACTCTAAAAGCATATAGCTAGGCTAAAAGCAATCTAGGACTATTATATCTGAATAATTAGGCTGCCACAAAGCCTAAATATAAATTTTACCTCACTTGAGAGTTTTATATTTTGTATTTCATAAAAGCCACAAACACAACCTGGAAACCTTCAGGTTTAGGAAATGTCAAATGTTATTGAAGTTTCAGTTAAATTGGTTTTAAAGACTATAGTTTGGCAATTTTCTGTGTCTTTGGATGATTTTCCTGAAGACAGAAGTAAAGTTCTGGCTATGTTGTAACATGTTTGTCTTCATTTAAGTGCTTTCAGCCACTTAAAGAAGCATACATTATGCTGGAGAATTCCTGCAATACAGGACAAGTTACAGCTGGCTTAAAGAGTAAAATCTTTTCTAGTTAAATGATTTATAAAACTATTAATGAATCTTTTCGGCAAATGTATTCAATTAAAGGGGATTTGTGTCATTTAAAGAGCTACTGGATTATAACACACGATTTCTTGCAATTTAAAAAGTTTAACAAAACAATCTAAATGAAGGCTGGGGAACCTTCAACTGTGAACAGAAATGAAAACAAAAATGTTGTGGCACCTTAAAGACTAACTGTTATATTGCAATGTGAGCTTTCATGGATACATCTACTTTTTCAGACTCTTGTGGATTATTGAAAGCTCACATTGGAATATAAAAACTAGTCTTTAACATGCCTCAACAGTGTCACTTTCTGGAAGGTTTTTTTTGGGTTGGATTCATTTTTGTTTGGACATGATTGCACAGCCATGGCTACTGCTTTGAAAACCTTGACTCCAAACTACTACTCCCACATCACTGGACAGAGTAGGGCCTGAATAAGATGGGAATGCAGTCAATCACAATTTAAACATCAGAGTTGCTTCTACTTGATCCTCACAGTAGTATAGTTTAATGATACCTCTGTATACGCATGGGTGAGAAATAGCTGTGGTTCACATTTTGGGGCAAGTTTACAAACTTCAGAGTTCCTGAATTTACACAAGAAGATCAGGAATTGTGGTGCAGGGTTCAGTTGCAATCTAAAATCCATACATCTGCACACAATGATTAAGTTAATTAATAAGGGCCACATAATATGCATATTTTGGGAAAGGTGTGTGCATAAATGTCTACAGGTAGATGGTTCCAAGAAGTACATTGAGTAGGTTCCCTTAAAACTTTTGAAATTATGCCTTACTCTTGGGGATATCAGGCTGAGAAACACGATCTTACACTCTAAATGTTTGAAGAAAGTAATTATGATCATAGAAGTCTTTTATCAATATAACATGCTGCTGAATGTTTGGGAACCAAACACCAAAGATGCTGGTCTGCCAAACAATCAAAAATGAAGTTGGGAGAAGCGAGGCTCTCAGATGTTCACTGGGAGTTACAATCACTGGTAACAGCTTGAAAGGTAATAGAACTGACTGGGGATTTCTATTTGATCTAACATTTTGTATGGAATCAATACATCTGTTTTTCAAAAATTGTGCTGGGGGAGAGAGAATATACCATTTAATGAGAGTCAATGGAACAAGATATTTTCTCTTGCTGTGGCAATATTCAGTTTTGCAACAATTACATAAGCTATCCGACACTGATGTCAGTTAGAAATGTGCGGTTTGCAAACATTTTGGCAATGGGATCTCCTTCTGCTGAGCTTTCATGCATCATATTGGTATAGGATTTTAGAGTGATGTTTTGTAGAAGGATTTTGATTATGCCAACTGAGCAGTTGAAACCATTAAGGAGGTAGTCCGGCAAAGTAGCAAACCACATGCACTTGCAAATTAAAATTATTTCCCAAAACCAGCTAGTCTTTTTTATTTACATTTTTATTTCTTTAAGGATATGGACCATGCCCAGCCAGGCTTGAGA